ATAGTCTTACTTTCATTTTTGTTTTTATTTCTCTTCTCCTTTTGCTATCCTGTTACGTATGTTACATCTTTAAAAATTTCCCACAGTTCTCAGCTATGCCACTTCATTCTTTCGCTCTTTGAGTATTAGTCTGAGATCCTTTCACTGCCATACTTCAAGCTCATTTATTGTTTCCTTGCCTGTGTCCAGTCTACCGGTGAGCCCAGCAGCCACAGTCTGTTGTGAGGCTATGACAAAATACTTTAGACTATGGAAGTTTTAAACAGCAAAAATGTATTGCTCAGGATTGTGGACCTGGGAAAACTCAAGCTCGAGGTGTCGGGAGATTGAGTATCTCGTGAGGGTGGATGGCTTGCTCATAGATGGAAGCTTCTGGCTGCGCACATTCTCCTGTGAAGAATCTGATCCAGTTCATGAGGAAGATCGCTCATGGCCTACTCGCCTCCACCAAACCTCATCATTTGATCCACCACATTAGGGATTAGCATTCCACATGTGAGCTTGGAGGGACTCAAACATTCGCATCATAGCACCATGAAAGGAATTCTTTTTTATTTCTGATTTTAATTTCTGGTACTTTCTTTTGATACTTTCTTGGAGTTTCCATCTTCTTGTCATTGAGAAGATTCAAAAAATCTTGTTTTGTTTTATTGTTTGACTCACAGTTTTAAAGGTTCTGGCCCATGATCAATTGGCCTGAATATTCTGAGCATGTGGAGAGGCCATGCATTGTGGCAGAAGCACGCATTTCACACCCAGGAAGCATAGATAAGAGGCAGGGCGAGGTCCTGCAGTCTGCTCTGGGTCCACAGGCCTCCCACAATGCCCCTCTCCACCAAAGGTGCACAGCACCTCCCAACAGTGCCGCCCTGGGGACTTCTCCTTTAACACACAGACCTTTAGGGGACACATTCAAGATCTAAACTACAGCACCCTACCTACACCACCCATCCGTTCTTCTTATCTACTATTCATGTTATCTACTTTTTCTTGATAGCCCTTGACAGATTAATCAGAGTTATTTTATTTTCCAATATGATCGCCCAAAATCTGAGTCTAGTTAAATGCTTAAGCTGTCTCCACAGGCTATGTTTTAGTCATGTCATGTGGGTTTCTTCTTGTTTTGTGTGTGTGTCACAGGGGGTTGGACAGAGTGGCAGGCAAGCACACTATCACTGACCTGCCTCCTACACTGCCTGACTGTGGTTCTTGTTGAAAGCTAGGCATGATGTGGTTGTCATAGAAACTGAGGCATTGAGGTTTTTGATGTGAGGTTTTCTATTACTGCAAGCAGGTTGTGTTAGTGTTTGCTCTGGTTCTTGGCCCCAGAGGCTTCAGTTTTCTCTGTTTTTTCCCCCCCATCCTCTTCAACTGTCTTTTGTTTTCCCAAAGAATTCCTTCACAAATAACATGCGTATCTTAAGTTTTTACATTTTTTCAGTTCTAAGCCATTGTGATTGTACTCAAGTCCTGGTTCTTGCTCCAGGGAAGGTGATCTCTACTGCAGTTCTCTGTATTTGCCTGTTTTGTTTTCAGGTGATGGCTTGCTTGTAACTTCAGTTCTTTTGATGGATATAGAAAAATCATTGCTTTTTCAGTTTTTCTTTTTGTGTGTGCATGTGTATGTGGCTTTGGGGATTGAACCCAGGACCTTTGCACTTTATCACCCTCCTTTTATTTTGAGTCAGAGTCTTGCTAAGTCACTAAGTTGCTCAGGTTGGGCTCAAACTTGTGATCCTCGTCCCTCAACCTCTCCGAGTGCTGGCAGTACACAGGTATGCGCCACCATGCCCAGCTTTGGGTCATTGTTGCTATTGTTGCTTTGAGGATGGAAATACTGGCTTCCAAGCTGTTGACATGTCCCACCCCAGAAATACCTACTTTTACATCTTCAACTTTATATGGCTTTTTT